TTCAAACCGAGTCTAATTTGCTTAAATATTGTAAAATATGGGCTGTCTATGACGACACCCAATTGAAATATAGGCAAGGATCCCAGATCATTTATGCACAGTAGCTTTCCAGGATCTCTCTTGCTAGTGTGATCCTTTACCCACCCCTAAATGTCAAAGAATTCTCTGTAGCTTCATTGTATGAAGCACAATGAGCTGCAATCAGGAGAAGAAAGCGGTAACTTTGTAAATGCATGCCAGTGCTTAGTTAGAGAACATGCAGGGGCCTCTTTTGATTCTAGCTGCATTAATTAAATATTGGAGCAGAAAAGTAAATGCTCAATAGAGGGATAACAAGTAACTGAGCAAATGAGCTCTAACTATAGCCTTCCATTTAGTGCCCTTTGGCTTCACTCCCTTCCTGTTCTTGGCTCTAGTTTTACTACTGGCTTTTCTTCCATTCTTTACATTGTTCTGCATATAGAAATATGGCAAAATTATTGCTGTTCAGCCAGCCCTCTCTTTAACTTCAGTTCCACAACCTTTTGGACTGGGAACTTGCAATCATGCACAGCTTTTTGATCTAAGTATGTTTCCATTCTCTTTTACATCCCATAAACGCTCTTGAGCTTCACCTCTTTGGTCTTCTCCCCTCAAGAACCACAGAGGCACTTCTTTGCCAATCTTTTACAAAGCAGGACTCTTAAGAGATTATTCGTTTGTTGGCTACTTTGTGTATTTTGGATCTTGTCTCTTTGCCTTTCTTTAATATGTTGACTGGTCTTGCACACACAATTCCAAGAAGCCATCAAGCTGCCTTACTAGATGCCAAAGTAATAATGTTTGTGGGTTTAATCGCCATACTTCTTCATATATGTCCTTAGATCTTGTTTGCCTTTCCTAATGCTGCCAGATGTTGCTTGGATGGTTTTACAAACATGTGGTAGTGAATGTTCCCATACCAGTGATTTTTTTTTAAGAGATTGAAACTACTTTGTTTTAAAGGAGTTTTTTGGACCAAACTAGGTATTACATGAAAACATGTGTAGATTACTTATGATAGCTTTTTTTTTAAGCAGGGAATATCTTTTTCAGCAAGACAATTTGGATCTATGTGTGCATGCTTATGAATATGTACATACACATTTAGGATTTAATTCAAGTTGACACTGAACTTCTTGGCTGCCCAGGAAGTTTACCAAGAAGCATTACTGGGTTTGTGGGGTAACACTGAAGTGGGAAAATAGCATCAGCACTTTTCCTCCCTAAATTTTCAACTTGAATTGCCCTTCTCAAAGGGATTGTTGTTCTATAGAAGGAGTAATTTATGTGTTTTCTGTATTTAAAAATCTCAAGGTCCCCCCCCCCGCACATCCAGTTACTTTTTGAGTTATATATTTTTCTTTCGAAACAAAATTCCTAATTATATCATTCTATTTATATCACAATTCTATATAGTTCTTCAGAAGCCCCATTATGTTCAATGAATGATAATAATAATAATAATAATAATAATAATAATAATAATAATAATAATAATAATAATAATAATAATAATAATAATAATAATAATAATAATATAATAATAAAGTTGGAAGGGACCTTGGAGGTCATCGAGTCCAACCCCCTGCTCAGGCAAGAACCTTACACCATTTCTGACAAATGGCTGCCCAGTCTCTTCTTAAAAACTTCCAGTGTTGTTTACAGGATTAATTCCTTACTCTCTGTATTGAGTATTTATTTAAAACAAACCAAAGTTTGCGTCAATGTCCCACACATTTCTTTTTGCCGAAGTTCCAATATTTTGGGCATACTGTAGAATGTTGGAATGTCAGGAAAAAGGGTATGGCTAAAAAGCAGCCTTTGAATTGTATGATTGAAGGCAGAAAAGGAGAGGTTATGAAGGAAGCAAATATTATGCCACAAAAAGCTGGAGATTTTGTAAAAACTAAATATGATCCTGTGTACAAAGAAGTGTTTGAAACACTACACGCTTGTTTTCTGCAATTCCTGACAATAAATTTTTCTGAAATGGTCATTATATATACTGCTTTTGTTAAGCACTCAAATATATTACTTCACTAAATCTGACAATTACTCTGTACTGTAGACTAATCTTATATATCCTGAACTAGGATTGCCCTAAAAATAGGATAGAATGATTTTTCTGCCTAACTAGTATGAATCAGGAAGTTTAATATCATAAGGCTTAAGAACTTTTCTATTTCCTGAATGTTTTATATCCCATATAATTCACCCTGTCTTTAGCAGCATTTTGGCCTTCCCTATTAACATATGGGCTATATATAAGGAAATTTTTAAATACAATGAAATGTTGTCACATGCTATCTAATATGAAGTACAGGTAGGCCTCTCTCATTGACTGACACATGGAACAACTGTCTGAAATTATGATACTGCTGAAAAGGCAACTTTGCAACCGAGGCACACATTTACAATCTTCACAGCATACCTTAAGTCACATCACAGCTAAAACAGTCAGTACACTTGTCCTGTGTCTGACCCTTTCCCCCCCTTTTTCCTTCTCCTGTAGAGAGGAGAGCTTGAAGAGGAAGGGATTACAAGAGGATAAGTAGGCAAACAATGGGGAATACGCATCAAAAGAAATGCACTAGCATTGGCATCCCCAACCGAAAGGGTTGAGAGCCAGAAGCACACTAGGCAACTGTGCTTACTCTCATGTGCTCCCTTCCTCTTCAATCTCTCTGCTGTGTGAAGGGGAAAACAAAAAGCAAGCAAGCAAATAAAACCAAAACAGGTCAGGCCCAAGAGAGATTGTCTAAACAAATGATTTAGGCAATCTCTCCTGTGCTCGAGCTTTTTTTCCCCTTCTGCTTACAAAAGAGTAAGCAAGCACATAATGAGATATATACCGGCAGTTTGCCTAGTGTGCTCACAAGTCCCAGCCCCAAACACAGGATAACAGAATAACAGAGTTGGAAGTGAGCTTGAAAGTGGAACCCCCTGCTCAAGCAGGAAACCCTATACCATTTCAGACTAATGGTTGTCCAGTCTCTTCTTTAAAAACTCCAGTATTGGAGCATCCACATGTTTGGGGCAGCTTGTACCAGCATATTCCATTTGATGTGTATTTTCCATTATGTGTCTGTTTACTCTTGTTGTCCCTTTCTCTTCAATGAATATAAATATAACAATTCACTCCTTGCTAATTATTCCAGGGCTGGGGTGAGCATTTCAAAGAACAGGGGAGTGAAAAAACAAGAAAGCTAAAATAAAATCATAAGCACAGTTGCAGTCACATAATTCCCCATTTAGTGATTACTTTGCTTAACAAACAAGTTACCAATCCCAATTGTGATCATTAATCAAGACTATATCAGGGGTGTCAAACTCGCAACATCAAGTAACGTGTCGTGACGTATCGCAACTTCTTTTTCCATTGCTGGCAATGGGGTGGGCACCATTTCAGCATGACGCATCTGGCCTGCGGGCCGGCAGTTTGACACCCCTGATCTATATCCTAAAAATAAATGAAGAAGTCCATGATCCAGCCTGAATGCTGGGGGGACTATTCACCTTACATTTAATATTTTTTGCTTTCTGTTGCAGACTTGCTGACTGCCAAGGAATACCATTGCTTACTGCAACTGCTTTGCCCTGACTTTCCTGTGGAGCTTACTCAGAAAGCAGCAAGGTGAGCCTTTATGCATTCCCAGATGAATCATGCTTTATTATATTTTAATGCCAATGATCAATTCATATTCCAATAGTAAAGGTAAAGATAAAGATACCTTCAAATTGAGCTTTGACCTCACTATTCTGCTTGGATATATT